AACATTTTTTTCTATAAGCATTATTTTCCAAGATATTTGACCGTTGCCGAACTTTCTCCCATCACTGTATATCATACAGGTAACACAACACGAATCATATATATATACATATATGTCTATACAATGCATAAGTTCATAAATTAATAAACACGTCAATAAATACAAATAATATTTTATATTATTTATTATTATATTATATTATACAATAATTATTACACATTAATGTAATACATAACATAGTATAAAATATATATCGATTTTTTTAAAGTTAATTTCTTTTTACATAAATTACTCAGGTATATATATAATAAAAATATAAGAAAATATATAAAAAGATCTATACTGTAATAGGTGGACGCAAATGAAAGCACTTTATACCTAAAATAAAAAGTAAAGTATATACAAGAGTAATGAAAACTGTAATTTATTTAGAAACGATTATACAGGTCGTCTTTTATTGTTCACATTAATCATTACTTGTAACAGTTATGCTTTTTGCGCACCGTTAAGATTATATTAAATAGTGATAGAACATATTCGCAGAGAATATTGTTGTTGTATCGTGTACGGGGAAGATCACTCCACGTATTAATTGTTTATTAATTGTTTTATTGTTCTTATACAATCTGTATTGTATGAGGACTCGGCCTCGTGATATAAAAGGTCTCGGCTTTTATGTAATAAGAGAGAACTCGGTCTCTATTCGCACGATGAAAAGAACTCGGTCTTATGATATAACGTGTTATCTCGCACGCTGCGTGTTGATTTCTGTCTCGGCTAACCCTTCGAAGGTGCTCCTTTCATAGGAAAATTCGTCGGTGATAGTCGACCAATCGTGATCTTCGATATCGCACGTGATCATTATTGTTCGCCTAAGTTTGTTCGCTAATAAAAAGCGCCGACCGCGGCGCCGGCCTGTCGCGTACCGACTTTGTCGGGAAGTCGGCGTATGCATGTGTGTGTATGTGTGTAATGTGTGTAGTGTGTGTAGTGGGCCCACTTGTGTACGCACCATATTCCCCCCATTGAGAGGGTATCGATCAATTAAATCGCTTTGATCACCTACTTACATTGACAGGATTGTTCGCAATTTGTGATTACAATGTTCGTCATTATAATATTATAGTTCAATCGGCAGTGTACATAGACACTTCACTGAGCGCTTTAGTATTCCGGCACGAGTCTTGATGGTGACGTTCGTGGGATTCCGTCTTCGCCGGGATGTATTTCCAGGATTCTGCCCAAAGTCCAATGTAGACAAGGAAGGCCTTTCTCTTTGACGAGGACGACAACTCCGACTTTGATTTTTTCTTTGTCTTTGATCCATTTGCGACGAACTTGTAGCTCATTAAGATATTCTAAGCTCCATCGTACCCAAAAATCCTGTCGCACCTTGTTGATATGTTGTCAGGCGGATAATCGGTTTGCTGGGACAGATGAGAGATCGAGCTCAGGTAGACTATTCAATGGTTTACCGATCAAAAAATGCGCAGGTGTAAGAGCGGAAAGGTCATTAGGATCGGAAGATAGCGCAGAAATAGGTCGCGAGTTTAATATTCCTTCAATTTCTATGGTAAAAGTGTTAAATTCTTCGAAAGTGAATAGAAGTTCACCAATGACGCGTTTGAAATGGTGTTTGAACATCTTTACCGCCGACTCCCACAGTCCGCCAAAATGCGGTGCAATAGGAGGTATGAAATGCCACGTGACTCGATGTTCCAACGAAAATTGATTTATCTTATTTTTATGTTCATTAGAATTAAAGAGACCATATAATTCTTTTAACTGATTATTCGCTCCGACAAAGTTGGTTCCATTGTCGGAGTGAATATGAGTTGGAATGCCGCGTCTTGATATAAAACGTCGTAAGGCAGCGAGGAATCCGTCGGTAGTAAGATCACTCACCACTTCCAAGTGTACGGCTTTCACCACCATGCATATGAGTATACGTATATTTTAATCCGATTCCGATTTCTATATTTTTTTTCTTTAACGTAAAACGGCTCACAAAAATCGATTCCGGTGTTCGCAAAAGGAGACGCATCGCACACTCGGGCTTTCGGCAAATCACCCATTTTATATTTAACGGTATCCGTGTTGAACCGAAAACAACGTATACATGATCGTATGACTTTGCGCACTTGGTTTCACCCATCGAGCAGCCAAAATTTTCGCCGAATTGTATATAGGGTAGTTTGAATGCCGGTATGGTAATATTTTTCGTGTATCTCTCTAATAATGAGATCAGTCATGTAATGGCGACTCGGGATTAAAATTGAATGTTTCTGTGTATATGTCAACTTCGATCCTTTCAGACGTCCACCGACACGTATCAAGCCGTTTTCATCGATGAATGGATTCAAAGCAGCGATATTGCCTTTGCTCATCGACTTTCCATTAGAGAGTTCTTTCAATTCACGCGAGAAACTACAAGTTTGAATAATTTTTATTATTCGGATTTCTGCTTCATCTAGTTCATTTATACATAATTGTCCCCGATAAGTATTCTTTGGCCGAAAACGTAAGCACCACGCCGTGACTCGCAACATTCTCGAATATGACGAATATCTTTGAAAAATACTAAGATCAACGACATTTGTTGTCAGACAAACATTTTTTCTGAGTTCCGGTATTTCGTTTAATTCTACGATATTATTAGGCCACTCGCTTTCGACATTCGTTAGCCACGACGCGTCGGCGGGATTATCCTTTGACCTGACATGTCGCCAAAATTGTGGGTGTGTTATTTCTTGCGCGACTCGATGCGAAACATAAGGTTTTAAGAGATGAGAAGTTTTCAACCAATGAAGTACTATGGTCGAATCGCCCCATATGATTACCTTGTTAAAAGACAATTTTACCGCACCGCGAATTTCTTCATATAATTTTGTTAATAGAAGCGCACCGCATAATTCGAGACGTGGTATTGTTACAGTTTTTAGTGGCGCAACCCGTGACTTGGCGCATAACAGATGACAACGCGTGTTGTTATATTTATCGTTTGAGCGGACGTATATACAGGCACCGTAGCCTATATTGCTCGCGTCACAAAATCCGTGAACCTGAATGTCAATATGGCCAGGGATTAGTATCTGGCGATCGATAGATAATTCCTTAATAGAGTCTAATTGTGTCGCGAATTCGTTCCATGCAGAGTGTATGCTAGGGAGGATAGATTCGTCCCAGTGTAATTTGCATCGCCATAAATCCTGCATTAGTTTTTTTGCATACAGTATGACCGGCCCTATGATGCCTAAAGGGTCGAATATCTTGGCAATTTCTGAGATGACGAGTCGCTTCGTGATCCGTTTGGTATGATTGATAGAACGGACTGAGTAACGTAGCATGTCCTCGCGCGGGCACCACAATATACCTAACGTTCTTAAAGTATTAGGTTTGTCGAAAATGAGATCGGAATTCACGGCGTCGGGTTTTAAATCCTCGATAACGCGTTTCTCGTTCGAGGCCCATTGCCGGATGTTAAAACCGTCTCGAGATAACAGCGTGATTATCTCGTCGCGTAATGAACGAGCTTTATCAATCGTTTCTGCACCGGTTAATAAATCATCCACGTATAGATGTGTTTTAAGAACTTCAGCGGCGTTAGGATATGCGTCGCGTTCGTCATCGGCAAGCTTATGAATTGTGCGTATCGCGAGATAAGGTGATGAAGATACGCCAAATGTAAGTGTGTTAAGTTGGAAGGTTTTGATTTGACCGTCCTGACGCCAAAGTATACGTTGATATGTTCGATCGTCCTGGTGAAGTATTACTTGCCGATACATTTTTTCTATATCCGCGGACAGCACATATTTATGCATACGAAAACGAAGTAGATGTGCAAATAACGAGTCTTGTATGGTAGGTCCTACTGTCAATATATCATTTAGAGATAAACCGTTGTTTGTTTTTGCTGACGCATCGAATACTACGCGAACCTTGGTCGTGTTGCTCGAAGATTTGACTACTGCGTGGTGTGGCATATAAAACCCGTCGTCAAGGGGCTCATCAATCGGAGACATGTGTTTCATGTATAAATATTCTTGCATTGTTTGAGAATAAGACGTCTTTAGTTTTGGATCGGAATCTAGTTTACGCTCGAGAGACTGTAAACGTTTAAGGGCAACAGCACGCGACTCACCGAGTTGTCTATCACCTTTGCGAAATGGTAATCGTACTATATATCGTCCGTTATTGCAACGAGTAACATTGTCTGTGAAATGTGTTTCACATTCACTCTCCTCAACTGATTTCGGGATGTTATTTGTTATTTCCTCGATCGTCCAAAATTTTGCAATTTGTTGATCTAAGTTAGTTAATGAGCATGCGGTGGTTTTAAGACGACTTTGTGAAGCATTCCCGCCTGCGACTATCCATCCCAGACGTGTTTTTTGTAAATATAGATCGTGACCGTCTCGTGATAGATTAATTTGGCCTATCGAAAACAAAGATAATGTCGGCCCAGCACCGATTAATATATCCACGGGACGTGGCGCGTGAAACTCTGGATCGGCTAATGATACGTTGGGCGGTATTTTAAGAGTTCCTCGAGGGAAGTTTTCCGATGGAATTAAATCTGATATTGTTGGAATTAATAAACATGTTAAGTCCTTACTGAATTCGCTATATATTGATTGGATGGTGATTCTAACGACGTCCTTGGATGTTGTGTTCGTTGAATTGATTGCGCCGACCGGTAGCATGCACGCGGTTATGGGAAGATTTAAATGTTTTGCGAAACTTTCAGACACGAAATTAGCCGTGGCGCATGTATCCAATAGTGCGCGGCATTTAATTAATTCGAATTCGCGATTTTGTACGAGTATCATCGCGGTTGTCATTAATTGCGGTGCGAATGTGGGCGAAATGGCTGCGAGACACGTCGTATTATTGCCGGCTTTGGATGTTAGTCATAACATCTTTCCCGTTTTCGATTCTGCTGTGTCGCCCTTTGTAACTGCGGGCGAATATTTGTCGATGTGCAAAAGCGTGTTATGTTTTTTTTGACAAATGGTGCAATTCGCGTAACTGCAAGGCTTGCCTCTATGCGAACGCAAACAATTGTAACAAAGCCTGGCGTTTCTTATGACTTCGATACGCTTGGGGACGTCCAACTGCTTAAATTTATCGCACTTGAATAATGGGTGTTGTTTAGTTTTACATGCTACGCAATTATTCGCCGTATTGATTATAAAGGCTTTATTAGATATTCGCGGTTTTTTTACCGAGGGTGAATTCTTGTCGTCGTGTTTAGAGAGTTCCGGGCGAGTGCGCTTAGATACGCGAACCGCGGTTTTATATAAGAATTCATATAGGTCATCGATCTTTGGAAATTCATCGCGTTTGAGCGTTTCCTCCCATTTTTCGGCCGTATTTTTAAGTAATTTGCTTTGTAGTATGTTGACGAGTATCTCGGATCCCACGTCAACTCCCAGCGAGGCTAAGGATGCGACATGTTGCTGCGCGTCGTCAGTAAGCTTAGATAAACCTTCAGTAGTTTCTTTTTCTACCGTTGGCAAATTTATTAACATTGAGAGATGACGTGAGATCAGAACACGTTTTACTTCGTATGCACGTTTCAATAGTTCCCAGGCTTTACTATAATTCGCGCCTTCGATTATTAAGATCTTTATCTTATTCGCCGCTTCACCGGTTAATGCCGACCGTAAATAATGCAACTTTTCTATATCGTCCAAATCCGTACGCGTGTCTATCATCGCGATAAACGCATTTTTGAACGATAACCAATTATCATATTGCCCGTCGAAATTAGGTAGCGACGCTTCAGGTAATTTTATTTTCCGTTTTACGACGTGCATGGGATTCGTATTGACGGGGGAAGGCACACCGCTCGAAGTGCCGGCGTTTGCGGGGAACTCTGTGGAACCCGTTAAAGTCTCAAATCTGCTCGCCAATGAATAGAACCTTTCTTGGACATTTGCGAATTCGTCTTTGTGACTCTCGTTCGAATCTAATGTCAGTAACTCGTCATTGTATTCTTCATACGCATGGTAAAGATACGTGACGCGCGCCATGCGTAAATTTAACGCGATCTTATCGTGGCGACCCTGTCGATCTTTTTCGAGTATGTTTGTTAAGCTAGTGATCTGAGACTTTAAGGAAGTCCGCTTTTGAATAAGGAGTTTGATCCTTTCGGCCATGATTAGGAGATGGTAAAGGATAGAGAAAAATTGCGTGATCGGTAATCTGTTAAATTTGAACAATGTCCTCGCCGTTTGCTCGTGTCTCTTTGTGTGCTCTGTCCCGCTTTATTCGCCTTCCCGGATAATCGTCCATCCAAATTTGATCGTCTCGTGAATCTCGTCCACTTGTGATTGATTGGAAATCTGAATGATCGGCAGAATCTCGTTCGTCCAAACGTCGTTCGCGTTCGCCTCGCGAACGACCTCACAGGAGGCACCAAATTTATGTATCGTATACGGGGAAGATCACTCCACGTATTAATTGTTTATTAATTGTTTTATTGTTCTTATACAATCTGTATTGTATGAGGACTCGGCCTCGTGATATAAAAGGTCTCGGCCTTTATGTAATAAGAGAGAACTCGGTCTCTATTCGCATGATGAAAAGAACTCGGTCTTATGATATAACGTGTTATCTCGCACACTGCGTGTTGATTTCTGTCTCGGCTAACCCTTCGAGGGCGCTCCTTCCATAGGAAAATTCATCGGTGATAGTCGACCAATCGTGGTCTTCGATATCGCACGTGATCATTATTGTTCGCCTAAGATAAAAAGCGCCGACCGCGGCGCCGGTCTGTCGCGTACCGACTTTGTCGGGAAGTCGGCGTATGCATGTGTGTGTATGTGTGTAATGTGTGTAGTGTGTGTAGTGGGCCCACTGGTGTGCGCACCAGTTGTATTGGAAGCAATATATAGTAAATGTAAAAACTAAATTTGAGGTATACTAATGATCATCAAAGTTATACACTACTCAACAAAATCTAGGGAACAATTTCAAACACGCTAAAAATTGAGCAATATTCAGAACACCATAATTCAATGAAAAATCATCGTAGACAAAAAATTAAAACATCGCAGACAAAAAATTAAAAAAGGATTTTAAAGGTTGAAATCTCTACTTTCGAAATCTATAATTGAAATTTCAATATGACTGATACTTTATGGAGTCATACGGACACAAATGGATATCCGTCAAATCTAAAAATTTTTTACAAACTTTACAAACGTCTATGGCGTGAGGTAAAAATTACACGAAAATGCGGTTTACAGCAGTCGAAAGAGTGAATCTTTACCTTTAATTTACTTTTTTATTAAACGTTGTACGAATTTTTTTCACCCAATTATTGAACGATGAAGCAAAAGTGATCACTTCTACTTTAACCTTCAATAACTCGGTGGAAAAAAATCGTACAACAATCAATAAAAAAGGAAATTGAAGGTAAAGATTCACTCTTTCGACTGCTGCGAACCGCATTTTTGTGTAATTTTTACCTCACGCCATAGACCTTTGTAAAGTGTGTACAAAATTATACGATATGTTTTAGATTTGACAAATATCCATTTGTGTCCGTATAGCTCCGTCAAAGATCAGTTAGATTGAAATATCAATTACTGATTTTGAAAGTAGAGATTTCAACCTTTA